GATAATGCTGACGACCTCGACCCTACAACCTGCTGTAGTGATAATGCTGATGACCTCGACCCTACAACCTGCTGTAGTGATAATGCTGATGACCTTGACCCCGCGACCTGCTGCAGTGATAATGCTGATGACCTTGACCCCGCGACCTGCTGCAGTGATGATACTGGCGTGATACATACCAAACTACACGTAAAATGAACCCATGAATCTATTCCCTTAGGCTAACGTGAGTAGCTCTCCTTCTGAGATTTTCACAGGAGGATATTTTAGTTGCATTTTGTTCCCAACCCGTGCAGAGTCCGGCCACACAGATCCAGACTGTTGCCTTCAGCTCACCATCTCTAGCGCCAGCGTGTCCAGCCCGTGGGCGTCATCACTAGGGAGACGGCTGGCCCGCACTCCCCGCCTTGGCCTGCGTCAAGGCGCAGTGAAGTGAGCTGGCTGCCTTCTGATTGATGTTAAGTTTCCTCTTTCCATAGACCGGACGTTTCAAAAGGGAGGAAACGGGTGCTGGGGGTGGGGTAGAGTGAGGTGGGGGGGGTGAGGGGACTGTCAAACGGTCCCCCCTTTGTGCGGCCCAAGGGGACAATGTCAGGGAACGAGGGATGGTGGGGGCAGTTGTGGGGGTGGGGGCAATTTGGGGACAGGAGGGTACACAGTGGGGCACAGAAGGGGCACCTTCTAGAATGTTCCACACAGAGTGGACACACTTCTGAAACTGACCAAGAACACAAAACAAATCTACCAAATAGTTCTTATTTTTATGCAACTGAAGAGCTTGTCATTTTTTAAAAAAGAAATTCTCTCAGACGGCGGCAAATAATTAATGCGCCCCCCCAGTTGAAATAGAACATGAAGTAATCATTTTGTTCCCGCCATAATTATGATATTTCTGGTTTAGTGGGCTGGCATGCAGCCTAACCAGCCGATTCTGCATACCCCCCCCCCCCCCCGTATCAGAGCTCTATCAGGGTTTCTGTGTTTTACTTTCTTATGTTTGTTTCTTGTCTCTCCATATTATTTCAGCCATTGTTTTGTTTTGCTTTGCGAGCATTTTACGGCTCGTCCAGTTTCCACGGGTGACTTGCCAGCTTTTTTCTTTTGCCCCCCCCCCCTCCCGTCCCCATCCCTCTTGGTCTCCTTTGTGCACGTTAAAGGACCACCCATAGGCTCTGGGCGGGGCCAGATTCCCAGAGGGATGTTTGCTTGGAATAGTAATGGGGTCTCCTGGGAAATCCGCTTGGCCGCCCCGGGCTGTCTCGCTCTCCCCCTCCCCCCATTTCATGTAGGTACCCTTGCTCACTCACTCCTCGACCCTGCCACCGGACGGCTGCTGCCCCATTGGCTAGGCCCGGTCTCTGTGCTCGTCCATTACCGTCAAGGTCGTTGCCGCTGACCTTTGACCCTTCAGCTCCACGCGGGAGTCCGCAGACACCCCTGGCAGTCGCCCTGCATCCCAGCTCTGCGGCTCCTGATGTTATTCCTGCTGTTGGAGATCCTTCCTCCATTGCCTGTATGGATTTGTTCTCTGTCCTTTTCAGCAGGGGCTGCTTTCCCAGACGAACTCGCCAAAGTCGCTTCTGTACCCCCCCACCCCCCCACCCCAGTCTCCCCTCTTCCTCCAAAGACCAGAAGGATGCACTGAAATATGGGGGTAGGAAACAAGCAATCTGGGCCAGTTAATTGCACACCAAGCCCTGGTTCGTGGACGGTGTGTGGCCGTGGCGTGCTCTGCATCCCCGTGGCCTGGTTTTCATTCTGAGGGGGGCCAAACGTGCTCCCCCTCCCCGAACTGTCATATAAACAGCTCAGCTTCCTGTCAGGGACATCTGGAACCTTATGACCTTTGACCCCCTGCTGTAGTATCCTCCAGCTCCCCTGGATTTTCCGGGAGCTCCTGCCAGACCCCCCCCCCCACGCCACCCCCACCGCGTGTTCTGCACATGATGTGAAGGACAGGGATGCAGTTTCAGGCAGGCCGTGCTGGAGACAGACAGGGCCACTTTTCCACCTCACATACTTGATGAACAGAAGCTTTTACCTAAAATATCACCACAATTCAACTTAACCTCTAACCCATTTTCACAGCTGGGTGTTTCACCCATCTCTGGTCGAGGAACCATGTTTATTGGTATTCCTGGGATTTGAACCTGTGACCCTCTGGCAAGGGACTGCCTCTTTTGTACTTGTTCTCACAATGAGCCAACCGTCACAACACAGGCCTTGAGCTGAATGGGGGTGTAGGAAGTGGTACTAATATCATTTATCATTTACCTTAATCCAGCGCAAAGGGAAACAAAAACAGAAGGGGTGTCTGCTCAGCCCCCGAGACAAACTGTCAGCGTAACCTTGAAATGGAATTAGTTATTGTTTATAATCCACACCATTAAAAAGTAACAGAACGGGTCTGTATCACCTCTGGCTGTTATCAGCACTGGGGGCCGATTTGCAGTTCATGGCTGTGAGGAACAGTACTTGGCGAAGTGGGCGGCACTGGACCAGACAGTCAAAGGCAGAGGTTCTGATGCGCCGCTAGAAGTCCGACCGATTGTGGACTGCAGAGTTTCGGTCTTGGAAATCCCATGTAAATGACAAGTGACATTACAGGGTCATGTGGCTGAGGTCAAACAGCATTGCCAGGGCATCCTAAGCCCAGCTGTGAGCCCTGGGGACCTTCCTGGAGCCCCCCCACCCCCCCAGGGTGGTGACCTTTAGCCTTTGACTGAGTTCTGGCTATGCCATCAGCCTTCCTGGGTCATGAGAGCTTTTGCTTTAGTAGTGCTCAGACCCGTGGGGACTCTTTCAAAACCGGAAAATAGCACCTGGGATGAGGAATTCTTGGCAAATGTTCTACCACACCTCCAGGCTACAGTCATGGGCTCATTTTCACGTTACTCCCCCTCCTTATTTACATAATGTTTGCAAAGCAGATGTACACACGGAGGTGTCCATCTTAACTCTGTTATGCCTCCATACATGCCGATAGAAAGTATGTAAATGACTTGATGCGGCAGGATCCGGCCACATCTGATCCCGCCAAAGAGCCAGAACAGGTCCGTCGCTTCGGACCCATGTACCGGAAGCATGCCTGGATAGACCCAGCTGCCTTCCCGAGCCATGTGGCTCATCCGATTCCTCGCGCGTCTTCATGTAGCCTGCAAAACATTCACGGATCTGTGCTGCAGTGGCAGGTGATACTGCGAGATGGACTTAGGTGTCACTGCTCCAGATTACCGGCCTCAACGTTGGAGAATCTTCACCTGGCATTTGGACTGGTAACTTCCTGCAGATTCTTCCAGGAACGCTACCGTCTACATTTTCCTGGACTGAGCAAATGATGTTTTTAAAATTCTTCTCTTGTGAGTGATATTCGTGTCTCTGACCGTGTGACAGGATGGAGAGGAGTGAGGCATAGTGTCCGACCCCAAGCTGGCCCACACTCATCCTGGAGAAGTGAAAGCTAAATGGTTGGCATGTATTTCTGTGTGCGTCTTTATGTACATATTACTTTGTGGGGATCAAACGTCCCCACAATGTGATAAACTTGTTTTTTTTTCACGTTGTGGGGACCATTTTTTCAGTCCCAACAAGGGGAAATTCAATTTTATAAGAAATTTGTGACTGCAATCAAAAAACTAAAAATACCTCAAGTCTTGTATTTAATTTGGTTACTTATGGTTAAGGTTAGGGCTGGGTAGGGGTTAAGGTTGTCATGTTGGGATTATAGAAATGAATGGAGAGTCCCCATGAAGATATGGATACAAACATCAGTGTGTGTGTGCGTGTATGTGTGTGTGAGGAGGACACATTGAGGATTGATCGCTGCGTGTGTGTGTCACTGTAAGAACATCAGCGCGTTTGTTTACATACGGGAAGGTTGATGTGTTGTCATCGCCTTGCGTGATGATGAATCCTGGGAAATATGCCTGATACCAAGGAGACATCAATGTGAAACTTGGGAACATCTGATGGTTTCATGTGGTCTGAGAAAAGTCCCCCTTGACACAAAACACCTTTATGAGCCTTTTATCCCTGGTAAATACTTTTCACAAAGATGTCAGAACGGAATAAGCAGTATAACCAGTGCAGCCATCTCTGCTCACCCCTGCTCCCAGTTCGGTTGATAGTCTTGGGCATGATGCAAAGAGTGCATTGGTGGTGGGAAATCAGAGGTGGGGGGTGGGAAGGGGGAGCACAGCCCACGCAAATGATGGCGTCCATCCCAGAATAATCAAAAGTTTTTTGGAACGGGAGGAGGGCTTCCAGTATCCCCCTCTGACTAAATAATCACAACCACTCGGGTACAGCTGACTGCGAAATGGACCGCACTCCATGTCGCTACAGGACAAGGCGGGCGTTTTCGTTTCAGGGGACAACCGAAAACCCTGAGCAGTCGCCCTGTCCTGCCAGTGACGTCACAGAGAGAGAGCTGCGCGACCAGGCGGTGAGGAAAAGACAAGGCAGAAGAAAGGCGTATGACGCAGGCAGCCCCAGCTCCGTGGTGAGCTTTTACAGAGGAACCGTGGGCGAGCGTCTCGGAGATCTCTGGATGCGTCTCCCTCCGGCATAAAATGGGTTCTGGGGGCAATGGCGTGATTTTCTGCATGGGCCGTTTCGCCTGCTGAAAGGCTTCAGCAATGCAATCAGCGCTGCAAGGAACCTCCTGGAGTTCCCAGTGGTGCAACAAAGAAAGTTCTAGAAAAAAACAAAAAGCAGGCCTTCCCTCTCTTCCCCCACACCGAACGAAATCTCTCTCACAAGCTCGCGGGGTAGTCCTCCGCCTGTCACAGTTGACAGAATCTGGTGGAATGAGATACGAGGCTGGTGATCGACGTCATGGCGACAGCTGCTACAGCGACTGCCCCTCGGAAACCGGTTGCCTCTGAAAAAACATTACTGCATTTATTTGCACGTCCGTTTACCACCGTGCGGCCAAGTTCACTGAGAACGCCGGGGGGTACTTCCGCGAGGAGAGAATAAACGCCACGACTCACTTAGAATTTGTTTTATCCCCAATACATTTTCTCTTTTATTGCAAACAATATTATACAAAAGATAAGCTTCTTCAAAAGGCAGTAACGTATTAAAGTCATCTAAGAAAACAAGGTTTCGTTCAGCCGTATTAGAAATTCGTCAAAATCAGTACTAAAATAGGTCATAGAAATAAGAAAAGTCCTTTAAGTAAAAAGGCTTGTTACTCTGAGAAAAAGGAAATCTACCATCTTCATTCCTCTTGCCATGATCTGCATGAAAGAACAACTATTCCAGTTTTTCTTTAACAAAAAAAAGAAAAGTTCAAATCAAGGTTTCACAATCAAAAGTAATCTGTACACAACTAGATACCAAGAGAGAGCAAATACAGATTTAAAATAGGCGCATTTACAAACGATAAATAAACAAGATGGTTACAATTTGTACCATATTTAAACAAGTACCCCCTTCTGACAGGAAACATAATGGCAAATAAACTTTTATATTCAGAAGGGCAGGATCTTTTAGTTGTATTCGGCTGTATTAAAGAAACAAAATGCAAATAATTACTTTATAATAAAATTAATGCTAATAAATTAAATGGGTTAAAAGACTACAGCTGTGAAGGGGGCCGGCGAATGGACCCAAAGGCTACACTAACTTAGCTGTGATTCTCCAAATCCGCACAGGCTTCACCATTCTGGAACCTTCTACACACGGAGCTTTAACAAGGGTTTAATCAAACTGCCCTACGAGGAGGGATGGAACCAAGTTATTACCTACAAACACGGGAAAAATCTCCCAGAATAAACCGTCAAAGTGGAAGAAACATACACAGTACATACTAAAATATTCATAATTAATATATCCTCACAGAGGAGTCTTTAAGATTTTTTTTTTGTAATTATGGCTAAAAATATATAATCACAACTCTGAGTGTAAAAAAAAGGCACGCGTGAGCCATTATTCTCAGTGTTCGAGTCCAGCGTCCCGTGTTCAGGTCTGAAGCATCTCTCCCCACTTTGGAGGGCAGGTGGGGGCAATGTGGGGTGTGGGTTTGGGGGGGGTCCCTTTAAGCTCAGGGCCTGGACAGCTGGGTGTAGACAGGCTGCTGCTCCCAGTGCTGGGGGCTGTGGGTCGTCTGGCCTACAGAGGGCACACCGGCGCTGTCTGCGATGGGGGTGTACATGGGTCTCTGCCCGGGGCTCATGTAGCTGAAGGTGGAGTAGAGGCCGGAGCCTTGGCCGGAGGCGTGGCTGTAGTAGGTGCTGCTGCCGGTAGCGCCGCCCTGGTGGTCGGAGTAGTCATACTGGGAGCGTGTGATGGCGGGATAGGTGGTGTAGTGCTGTAGACTGAAGGAGCCATAGCTGACGTGCTGGGGGGAGCCTGGCTGCTCGCTGTAGTGGCTGGGACTTAGCTGCTCCGTCTTGATGTGTGGAGCCCTCTGCTGGGTTTGCCCCTGGTCCCCGCCCAGGCTGGGCAGGGGATGCTGCTGCTGCTGCTGCTGCTGCTTGGACATCCAGCCATGTCCACTGCCCCCGCTGCCTGTCGAGCCGGTCTGGGAGGCCGGGGGTGTGGCAGCCATGCTGTAGCTGCCCCCGTACGAGACTGCAGCCCCAGCCCCATGGCCCGCGCCGCTGACTGGCGCCCCGGGATGACCGTTGGGAGGGAGGTACTGGTCGAACTCGTTGACGTCGAAGGTCTCGATGTGGGAGATGACGTCGTTGCTCAGCTCGCCAATGTCTACATCCCGGAAGTCGATGTTGAGCTGACGGCCGGCCCCCTCCTGCAGGGGGCGCCCCTCCCTCTTCAGGTCAACCTTGCCAGTCTGCACATCTGTTTTTGGGGTGGTGGGGGGTGTGGGGGGCCCCTGGGACTGGCCTGCGAGTGGAAGATTGGAGGGGGGGAAAAATAATGGAGGCATTAATCAGTAAAAAGGCATGACGTCCACAGCATAAAAGCCAATAAGGATGTTCTTTGAATTTCGGAAAGGGAGAGAGATAAGCTTTATGAGTTACTGGGGGGGGATTGTTATACAAAGTTTTCACCAGGCGGGCCGGGGGTGGGGGTAGGGGGTCATAAATCGGCAGAGTAAAGACAGGTGTTATGTTTACACGATAGCCCCCATAAAGTTTTTAATGATTTATATATGTATGTATATTATGGTTAGAATCTCTCTCGGCTTGGGATATAATTTAGAGACACCCATGAATAATTTAATTAGTATCCTTTACACTAGAAATCGCATGTATATATGGCGGTGTGAAGCCCTACCGGAGTGCTCTCCGGGAGAGTGCACTTCGTCCATGCTGGAGGCGGGCGAGTCCGCCTGCTGCAGCGCCTTAAAGATCGCGTTGGGGGAGATGTGCGTCTGCTCCACGCCGTCCTCCGCCTCGCCCTGGCCGCTCTTCACTGACTTCCTGCGCCGCGGCTGGTATTTGTAGTCAGGGTGATCCTTCTTGTGCTGCACCCGGAGGCGCTCAGCCTCCTCCACGAACGGGCGCTTTTCCCCCTCGTTGAGCAACCTGAAACACGGAGAAGTTGGTGGATGCAGCAAGGAATGGTTCAGGCGAATTTAGAGATTAACTGGAAATCTCTTAATGTTATACACGGACTGGGGTCCAGAAACCCGTTTCTAAACGCGAACTGCAAGTTGATGCCAAGTGCACACTGTCTGGAAGCTGGTAAGACGAAGAAGGGGGCTTGCAGTGCTTAATTTGAATCAGCATGATTTTAAAATGCATGCATAACAGAGTTTCATATTAGAATAAAACAAAAGCACAAATAGAGGCCAAATGACTATACTGAACTCATTCAAAACTGCACATAACCAGATAAAGCATCGTTCTTGAATTCCGCACCAAACTTGGTCCAACTGTAGCAGCTTCAGTCGGTTCAAACGGGACGCGAAACCTACCTCCAAAGTTTGCCCAAAGTCTTGCTGAGCTCCGCGTTGTGTAGGTGTGGATACTGGTCCGCCAGCTTCCTTCGGGCAGCCTGCGCCCACACCATGAAGGCGTTCATCGGTCTCTTGACGTGCGGTTTGTTCTTGCTGGTGCCGTTCACCCTGACGGGCATCGGGACCAGAGTCCAGTCGTAGCCCTTCAGCACCTGGGACACCGCCTCTCGGATGCACAAGGGGAATTTGTCTTCCTCGTCCTTCTTGAAGTCACCCCTCTGACCGTCGGGTCCCATCATGCCGTTCTCGGAGGGTCGGGTGTTCTCTGTGTCGGAGCCAGATCCGGACGGGCAAGGGGATCCCGCGGAGTCCTCCGACATGCTCGGGCTGGGGGCGTCAGAAAGGCACTTATCTTGCTCGTCTGACATTTTCAGAAATGGATCGAGTAGATTCATGCGAAAAAATGATGGGATGCACAAGTACAGAAGAAATAAACCGAGGCTCTAAAAAATGACGGCTGAGAAAAAAAAACGGGAAAAAAAACTTCTTCGGTTTTGTTAGAGTATTTTTTGTTGCAAAATACTAAGTTATTAAAAGTTGTCTTTAAAGAATAAAGTAAAATAAAGCGTCAAACTGTAATTTCTCCAAAAGAAAAAGTTTTCGAAAAAATCTCAGATGTCCCTTTGAAAGTCGACTGAGATTCTCGGCACCCCGGAGAGTGACATGCAAGGTTTTGCGAGCGCTTTCTCCAGCGGACTTTCGCGGACTAAGAGTGCAGAGCCTCCCTGCCCACAGCTATTCCCAAGTCGCCTGAGAGTTTCGGAGCGTCGGCGCTCCTGCAGTCACACTTTATCGGTTCGTCACCTGAAGAGCGGCGTCCGATTGGCCGGCATATCTTAGGGAGGAGACCTGCTACCACCGCCCCCAGTCTTAACTAATAAGCTCCTGTATATTGAACTCCTAAATAAATTCAACAGGCGAAGTCAGCTTCGTTTTAAGAGTTCTGCTCCTACAAGGGGTGTGTGTATATTTGATTTATTTGCTTCAAATAAAAAGTTTTGTGACTCAGTCGCTCCCTTTGGCGTCTGTTTTGGCCATAATATGGTAAATTTAATGCAATATAAAGTAATGACTTGCTTTGGACGCAATGAAAATAATACCAATGTCCGTCAATCAGCAGTAGTATGAGTTTTATTATTTGGTTATTATTAGTTGTAATAGTTCTAAGAGAGGAAAAGTAATATGTTAGCCATGATACAATTTCTTAGTAATATAACAGTGGTAGAAATCTTAGCGTTTATTGCGTTGGTGATAGTAACAGCAGTATTGCTAGTGGCCAAATTTGAAACGGGAGATTATGTAATATTACAAAATAAATGCTGGATATTGTGACAAGAGGGCAATAAATCCACTCCAACGTCATCTCATCTTTCTCCTTCGAGTCTTTTTACATTCAGAGTGATCCACATCAGCTCCATTCTCTCCAGAAGCGCTGCTGGAATTGCGCTGTCAAATGCCAGAAAGTAATTTCGAGATGGAAAGGAAGGTTAATCAAAGCTGCTAGGACGGAACTTCCTTCTCCAGGACGCAAACAGTGCCCTCCGATGCCGTATCTCTGCGAACCGAAACACGGTGCGCCTCTCAGCCAAGTTTGCCCGCGTCTTGCTTTCACCGATAGGGGGGGATATCAGTCCATGATGCCGGGCCAGCCGGCGGTCGCAGAAAGAGCGCTTTCGGAGCTCAGATTGCGGGAGAGCATTTGTTATTGCTTTTATAGCCAATTAGTCGGAATGCTGATGTTTCACTAAGAATAATGACAAAAAGACAAACAATCACGATTTATTTATTATTTACCTTAATATGTTACGTATAAGTGCATTTCTTGGGGACTACATCGTTATTTGTATTATATTGGCGAAATGAAAAGGGGAAATGGCAAAACAATATACATTTAAAAGTATAGCTTTCATCCATCTATCCATTCATCCAACCATCCAACCATTCAGTAAGGGGCTGCGAGTGGGTGAAGTTTTCAGTTTGATATCTGTATCATTCTAGCTCATATAGCCTACGACTGCCACACATCGCTTAAAATATTAAGTGAGAAACATCAACAATCTTTTGAAACACTTCTCTTAACAGAATTAGGCCTATACTTCTCGGGAAATTTATGTTGGAAAGGTGGTTTGGTAACAACACTGTAACACACGGACCTTAACAAGGTGGGCTGTGTCGCGCCTCCCCCTCCCTCGGAGTCCTGCTTATCCTCACACGGGGTGTCGCTTTTAAGAGAACTGGAGGGACGGAGGTCGCTCCCAGTGCGCTGACTGCAGGAGGCGGGGCGGCTACTGTGGACCCACGACGAGGCGCCTTTCGCGTCACAGTGACGATGATTGATATTCGCCGCTACGTAGATGGACTCAAACGTACATTATTTAGTATCACGATTAACTGCCTTTTACAGAACTAGATAAGCAAATAATCATAATTTCCATGCAATTTAGGTTAGTATGTAAAAAGTTATAAACAAAGATGTATTATATAGTTTTGATTCCATGCGCATTTGATAAAGCGGTATTGGGATTTTAGTGGTTAACGTGCGTTTCTTTTTGTTGTAAGAGGGCTGACCGCTTTCAGCACTTTAATTCTCCATGTAATTCTTTCCCTTCTTTCTTAAAAGATATATTGAGGTATCCGGAATTCAGCCTTGCTAACCCACCAAGAAAAAGTACATACTTTGTTTTTGGGAATAATTCCACAGTCAACCAACCGCAGTCAATGTAATGTTGAAGTATAATTAAAATGGAGTATAAATTATCGTGAATAAAAATTCATGTAATGTAATAATTGTTGAAGAATGCGATTATGCATGCAGGAGGCGGACGGGGAAAGGATGGAGCGTGTTAATGAACCGGGGTGACAAATGTGAAACGAATTATTCACCATCACTTTGAGCCACAGGACTCTGTATCCGCTTGGCTCCTAATAAGCGGAGTTTGAAATGTATATACACGGCAAATATGAAGGATTCTGCCAGCCTTAAACAGCCCTTCTTACAAGAGGACATCTGCCGAATGGAGAGCCTTTTTCGGGAATACCTTCATCATCATCATCATCATCATCATCAAACAACAACAACAATAATAATACAATGGATAGAATCTCTTTTGTTATCTGTGCGTAACCCCCGTAACAGTGAATATACTGTTTTTTAAAAAGAGCCGCGTTCTGTTAAAATGTGAATATCTTAAATAAACAGGCGCCGTGTAAATAAACGTCAGATGTCTTGGCTGGTGTGACTGGGTTTCTGTCTTTAGGACCAGGGTCCTAATTAAGCCGAGCGGCAGATAGGATTACGGGCCGATCCTACTGCGAGGGGGGTGGGGGGTTGACATAACACATACAAACAATTTTACAACATCCAGAAGTCCCGAGTTTCCCGTTCGTTCATGGCAGAATACGAGCCTCGCGATGGAAAGAAAAAAACGGCGCACGTACGCAGACATCTGCGAACTATTAGATGTAAAACTTCAGGTAGCCTAGCAAAGCACATATGCTGAGCACATTACCCCTACAATTACATTTCTACGACTTCAGTCGGCCAAACAAACAATTACACGACGTGCGTTAGCAAGATGAGAGCAGGAAGCGGCGGAAGCTGCTGACAGTCCGCTAAGGAAGGTGCGTGTGTCCGGCCAGGGCCCCGGAACGGAGGGCTGCAAGGCCGACAGAGAGCAAGCAGCCGCTCGGCTTACCTGCGCCATTTAAAGGCGCGTTATCTAGGGCAGCACTCACTACGAAAGGCAATGGCTGTTTAAACGCATGCCGGGGTTCATTCTATTCTATTCCTAAAAAAAATCCAAATTTCGTTGCGCAAGAAAATGTGTAATGACATTCCGTTCTATTCTGTTTTATACTAGAATATAACTTGAATTCACACGAATACTAATGACTGAAAGTTAATATAGTGTAAATGGAATAATGAAAATATATAGGCTGCAATTAAATTATAATATTGAATATTTTTCTAATGTCATAAAATAATGCAATCGATAAATGCTTATTATTATTATTATTATTATTACCGTCGTCATTATCAGCATTGTAAAAGTAATTCTTGGACATAGTTACATTAGTAAAATATATTTCGTATAACCCAGCATAATAAATCTGATTATGGTGACTGTTTTATATTTTATATTAATTTGTAATGGTTTTTGTTCATTCATTATTTCTAAAATAGTTTTCACAAATAATGCATATATCGCTGAACTTCATCACGTAAACGGTGCGGATCCACTTTGAAAGTTACTCCAATTATTTTGTCAACCAAACGAAAATGCCCCCCTTTTCCGGAACCTCGTATCGCGAACCTGAAGCGAGGAGCCGAAGATTCAGATTTCGGTTCTGGCGTCTAATAACCAGATTAGCGGCTGGGCTTGACCACAAAGCCGCCATTGTCACCGGTAAACAGGCTTTGGGAGTTTGCTCAGAAAGGAGAATTTTCCGGCTTCACAGGATAAAAAATAGTGTAATCCGCTCTGTGTAAACCGGAATGAGAAACTGTCAGAGGCGTGACGCGTGTCTGTCTCACGTTGCTTAGGCTTCCTGTCTGTTACCTGTTTTATCAGGTGAATTTAACAACAATCTATACCGTGGATAACATCCGAAAGGTATTATATCATTCTCGGTTTCTGTTATTCTTCTTCTTCTAATTATTATTATTATTATTATTATTATTATTATTATTATTATTATTGTCATTATTTGAATTAGGTTCATTTTATTCAGGACAAAAGCCTTACTGTTTTATTAAAGCAATTCGGTTATGAGGTAATTCTAAGTGCAAAAAAAAGAAAAAAAGCTGCAGAATGGCGATAGGAATCTGCTCTGGATGGGTTTAATCTCCCGGGTTCGGGTGCTGTGGTGAGAGACGCCTCCGCGTGTCCTGCAGTTATGGGTAATAAACGCTTAATGCTGAAACAATAACAACAATAATAATAACAACAAAATGAACATTTCAACACACATTCCCAGAACAATTCTATCTGAATTTCCAGTTGATTTACTTATTTCTTTTTTTTTTTCTTTTCTTTTTTTTTTTTGGGGGGGGGGTAGTTTGTTGATATTCGTTAGATATTATTGGAAGTAGTACATTTACATTACCAGTGGCTGCATCAGCAGGTTATCCAATGGTGAATAACGTAGACCAGTTTGGACCAGTTGAGACTAAAGTCCACTGGTTTCACTGATTTGTTTGACATGGCTTGAAAACCAACCCAACCAGTGCAGGGATTTCTGGAGCCACTGGGGCAAGAGGACATTGTTATTTTTGTTGATTTGTTGGTTCCCTGACGGAAAGTCCCGATGCCTTACACGTGTTTCATGGCTGACCGGCATCCATGATACTGCCCCCCCATCCCCATCCTCATCCCCATCCTCATCCCCATCCCCATCCTCCTCCTCTCCATGTTGCTGCAGAGGTCATTGCCTCAGTGAGAGAATTCAAATCAAGGCCTTGATTAGAGTCACCTGTTTCATGTACAGTTACCCCACCCCAGACACGCATGCACACAGATGCCGTTAACTGACAGTCACATGTTCAACGGTGTGCTTGTGTGGCATCTGTCATGTCAGATGTGGGAGACTCCATATGACAAATAGATAATATTTACATATTTAGCAGTCATTTTTACCTAGAGCAACTGAGAATTAAGACAGCAGAAACTGCCGGCCTTGGTCAGGGGCCCAGCAACGAACACTTCACAGACTGTGGGATTGGAACCAATAACCTTCTGATCACAGACGCAGCATCCT